GGGCGACCACAGGGCCTGATGGAGATTCAGGACATGATGGGGGTGTTGCATGAGTGCGGTTTCGGACGGTTTATCAAAGTGTGGTATCCTTGAACATCAGAATAGTCACAAAACAGCTATTCAGCATAAGACAACATGGTGAGACTATTGTTTGGCTCCACCTAACAAACAAGTGGGCCACCCATATGGGGGCACCCAGCTCACCACCACTTAGATGCAGAGCTCCAGGCCTTCTGTCGTTGTGATCAGAGTGCTGGTCAGGGTCGCAGTTGAAATAATCGCAGTCAAGTGGGCCTAGGCGGGGCTGAGAAGGCTAGACTAATCAGCTTCTGGCCGTGAGTTTTTTCAATGGTGTCACATCTGATATCGTGGGATGTTCCTTTACTACTTGGATTCTGGATTCTCATACATGATCAATCTGTGTGGTGCTTTTCTCCAAAATCTTCCCATCGAATCCAGGTCTAGGCACCAGAGTGGTGGTCGCGGTCACGGAGCTTGCAGGACCTACCCACTCCGTCAGCAGTTTCTCGGTAGGAAAGATGAGCAAGTGAAGGGGTGCCCTACAGCTGTACCCATGCCATAGCAGTTGTTTGCTATTGGTAAGTAGCACCTCAACAGCAAAGTAAACACGGAACACACTCTGCTCAAGCTTACCGCGTTTAATTGCAAAATTGCTGGACCAAACGCGTCCGCCAGAGTAGACTTGGTCATGGAAGAGATCCAGCTAATCACTGTATATACAGTATGTTCGACACTCGAATCATTCGTATCCCGGCGCTGCCTTCATCCTTCATGCAGGTATGACATTGCACTTGGTCACCAGGAAATATTCCTTGGGTCAACAAGTTTTGCACTGGAAAGATATATATATATATGACTCATGACGATCTATTACATAATATGGCTTGTCTCCGTCGAATCAATGGAGTCGAGGGACGGCTCCCGCGCGGTTTTTCTGGACAAATCTTCATCAAAGTCGGGGTCTTTGAAGATCTTGAAACCCCAAAGGACAGCCTCTTCCAAGGGTTCTCAGTTCCAGTGTGCGCTTCTGCGGAACTGGATCATCCTAATGTCCCGACGCCGCCCGCCGAGTTTCTGCAGGGAGAACACTCCAAGGAGAAACCTGTCAAAAGGACAGTGCTTAAAATTGGCGCTATTGCAGCAAAACGAGGAGACACTGATTGCCAGCAAGCGTCCACCGCAAGACATGGACATGTAATTCAACTGGCCTCAGGAAAGAAATGCCTATCTAAAGGGCGTCCACGAGGACTTGGGGTATAGATAGAATCCTTCAAAGCCAATTGAGAATTACAGTAACAAGAAGCTAGTAGTAACAAGTGCATCGCTACTAGTAACAAGTGCCATACTAGTAGTAACAAGAAGCTATACTAAAGTATATCACCCCCTGGGGGTATGTGGTGGTCATCCACGTCGGTAGGGCGTCACCATCTCTCGGATAAAGGATGCTCCGAGAAGCGGAGTTGCTTGAGTTCACCAATGCTTCTGGGAAGTCTTGCTGCCATAAGGATCTTAAAGGTTTCCAAGCTTCGTCAGCTCAACCCCTTTGTCCTCACGATTTGCTTTCATCAACTCCTTTCTCGCAATATGTGGCGTGACCATGACTAAAGGCCGACCTGGTCGAGATCCAAAGCACAAGCGAGACAGGCGTGCTGTGCCTCAACCCAAACCCGTCTGACCTAGATCAGCCAAATTGAAAAACCTGGGAATCTGCTTGGGCAACTGCTTTGCCAGAAGGATGAACCAAATGACCCCCAAAAATTACTAGTCCCGTCAACATTCTTAGTTCACTTTCCCACATAGATCCGACACCGGTCGACCCCCAAATAGACTGTACAATTGCTGAACATGGACTCCCCTTCACCGATCCCCCCCCCCAAAAAGGAAGCGAGTTGCTCACTGCGTAGTGTTCCAGGCCACAGTCAGTCCGGCCACAAAGGTCCAGTGACTCTGAGAGTGTGTAGCCAGCAGGGCAGCTGAGGCGTGTTGAGCAACCTGAGCATCCGCAGAGCCGCGTTTTTTGGGCGCGATCTGGGCAACAGAGACCAGAGGTACTTGAGACTGTACTGCAAAAAAAAGAAACTAACACCAACCGCATTGCGTCGACAGCGCTACTGCCTGGATGAACATCAGAAAAATATGTTGAGGCGAGGTTTGTCAATGGAGAACTGTACTGGTTTGAAGTTCAACTATACACAATATCACAATATAATATACTATATACTCAACTGCTTGGAAAGAAAACGGTTCATAGAATATATAAACCAACTCACTGGGCCGTCCAAGGCTCAGCTCCCATCATAGGAATCGGGGCATTCATCCCAGGAGTCGTGGCAGTTCACCGCCTCAGAACGAAAAGCAAATCCAACAACCCGCCTTCGCGACGGCACCCGTATCGACCCGCTGATTGCGGACTAGCCTGATCGGTTTTTGAGGCTTGGGAGGACTACCTTTGACGGATTGCTAGGCCTAGCTGGACTTCTGCGCAAGTCTGAGAAATCCATGTTGAGTCTCTCAGTTTCTGTGCCACCGAGCATCGGAGGTGCTGGGGCTGGTGATCTCCGGAGCAGCCACTGAGCCCACACATTCACAACACTCGTACCTAACCCAAGCGAAAAGGTGCTGTGGTTTCACAGCCTACGCCCATTGAACATCATTGACATCATTCTATGTCCTACTAATCCAGTATATTAGTATATGCCTGCAGGGGAAAAACTAGGGCTTACTGTTGTGCCCATTACTATAGCCTAGCGATGCCCTTGGTTACTAGTAGCTTCTTGTTACAAGTATGGCCAGGAGCTACGTTCGTAGGGTTAGACCCGACAGCTTCTGAACATCACCGAGAGCGACATGGCGTTCGCTCTACATCCGATGGCGTTCGCTCCTCCGCTCTACATCATCCCAGTCATCGCAATGGCCATTCCAGTCGGTCTTCCGCCAGGTGGGTCCTCAACCGACTCGGTGTCTCTGAGGCCAATGCACGGTGTTTCACCGGGAGCGCCAACATGATAGTAACCAAAATCAGCTGGATGTATTGCATTTGTGGAACATGGGATGCTTGGAAAATAGCCTTCCACAAGCCTCGGGGAGGCACAAATTTTGCTTGGGAGTGTAAGGGTCTGACAATATGACCCGATTCTGGCAATCTTCCAGCCAGCGTTGTCTTCACAAAGAGAACCCTTAGAATCCCTCCCCCCTCTCAAGAAACCCTCCAACTGGGGATTGGCTTACTTGGACAGATAATCTCAAACACGGACTTCTGGTTGAGTGTTTGAGTGTATATATTTGGGATTATTTGGGCCTATTGGACCAGTCAAGGAATGCCACTTGCACGCGAACGGCTTCGTCGAGTCTCCAAAATCTTCACATGTTTCTTCCGGAGCATCACAGCTGATGCCCTTGCATTCCTAGGCGCGTGAACTCCGAAACTAGGTGCCAATTCAAGATTGCATGTTTCATTGTATGTAAAAAGGTGTCCTGCGACTTTTCCCGCGATGCCACCATGCCATTGCTAGGTCAAAAGCTTCAGTTTAGCTCGCGACTAAGGCAAGCTCCAGCGAGTAACCGTACAGGCATGTGAGGCTGTAGCGGCAAATGGCATATCCACGAGCACCTTGCAGCGGATGAGTAGCTCACGAAAAAAACAGGGTACGCCATGGCTCCTCATGTCCACCACTGCCAGAAGTCTGACTCCAAATGTTAAGCCCAACTTTGCTTTTGCCAAGCTGCAATAGGAGTCAGTCTCGACCTAAGCGATTCTGAATCCGAAAGAGTTGGCGTTTAGATTTTTTAGCAAAACTACCAGCCCAGGAAAGCCACACAAGTGTGATCAGCGGCTGTTCAAAACCACTTCCATATCTGAGCAAAGAATACATTCCTCAACAACAGGGACCGCCCAGCAGTTTGGGGATGGCCAGCAGTCCGAACCTTTATCACCAAAGGAACCAAAACGCTGCCAAACAAAAGAATTTAAGTTATCGATACAGAAGGGCGGCATCTTCACACCAAGCAAACTGACTGCTGTGCCATGGGACGAAGGTATGGCAGGATGTTCTGTTTCACCCCAAAACGACGAGTCTGTTTACACCACGACATGGCCGTTGACCAAGAAGTCGGCTGGGAGGACGTGGAAGTCGGCTAAAGTGGCCAAAGGCAGGAGCTGGAGGAGCAAGCTTCGCGCCTCGGGAAGTGGGGAAGAAAGGTCTTGGCAGCAAGGGCGAGCAAGGGGACCACTGATGGGGACGTCGGTTGATGTCAGTTGTAGCAGTTGAGTTGTTCAGGAAACCACTAATTGTTGTTCATGTTATTTTTTCTATGCTTCAAGGTGCTCTACAACCTGAACCGGATTAATGTTGCTTTGGACCATTTTGCTAGGCTCCCGCAGGTTCCCAGAAGATATGTCGGGCACCTTTTCAAAGCATGAAGCTAGGTGAAGCGCCCCCAACACCAGCGTTGCCTTTTGCCAAACGAAGGAACTAAACTACTGGAACTTCAACTCATCGACCCGGTCCCATTCACTCCACGCGAGAGTTTAAGCCATAAAGGGAGTTGGAGAAGCAGACGCTTCGCTGAACTGGTCTTGAGTCTTCGAACGGATGGAGGTGAAAAACATTCTAAGGAGCGTTGGAAACCGGTGAATGTCCATTGATCACAAAACTCAGAGTGAGATTGGTTTTGTGGTCTCACAAAATTATGTCAGGAGTTCCTGCCTGCGGTTGGCATTTCCAAATGGGTTGGACACCGCTGCAAATTGGATCAGTTACTGATACTTAAACAAATACTGATACTGATACTGCTAAAATGGGAGTAAGTTGAGCTAAACCATGATGCAACGCTGTGTGCAAGCTAGCGGCCATGGTTCACGATCTGATCTGCGCGACTTAAAGGAGCTTCAAAAGAGCTGCAAATGGCCATCACGTTGGGATTGGCAGGGTCGCTGACAGCGGTGGATTCAAGCGAATGAATAAAGAGGTGTTTGTAGATCAGAGAACAGCCTCCTGGGCCACGAAACTGTGGTAACCGGAAGGACTTGTTCTTTGGTGAGGTCTCCGTCCATCGGTTGAACGACAAACATGATCAACAAATGTTTTTCTGTCTGTTTTCCCACTACTACAGTAGTAGTCAAGAAGTATGAAGGATTGAAGAAAGTCATCTGAGCGACCCCGTTTATCGTGAGGCGGCTGGTTTCCACCCAGACTGAGACAAGGCCTCCTCCTCTGAGAGTGCTTCGCAATCCATCCCTGGGCATAATTGGTACTGCACATGGACACACCCATTCAATCAAATAAACGAAATATATAATAAAGGTTCGCACTGTTCACTCACGTATGAAAACAAATTGGAACACATGGTTGTGATCTGAACAAAACTGAGAAGACAACATGAGTCTACCATTTGTGTTTTTTTCGGGCAAAGATATCATCGCTGATTCTTCACGTCTGGACCAAGGTCATCGCCCATTGAAAAGTTCATGGCAGCCCCAAGTGCTTGCCAAATCGCGGTCGTCCCAGCCTGTCAGTAGAACTGCTGTGTCTGTAGGTAAGGTAATCCCACTCAAGAAGCACTGTGGTCGGGCTACAACACCAGCCTCTTCGATCAACCTGTCATTTTCCCGCCCTCACTATCTAACTATCTATCCATCCATCCATCCATCCATCCATCCATCGAGAGACTCTCTATATAATATATATATATGTATGTATCTCTCTCTCTCTGTCTGTCTGTCTGCCTGTCTGCCTGTCTGCCTGCCTGCCTGTCTGTGCCTGTGCCTGTGCGTGTGCCTGTGCCTGAATCTGTCTCATCTCTCTCTCTCTCTCTCTCTCTCTGTCTCTGTCTCTGTCTCTGTCTCTGTCTCTGTCTCTCTCTCTCTCTCTGTCTCTCTCTCTCTCTCTCTCTGTCGGTCCGTCCGTCCGTCCGTCCGTCTGTCTGTCTCCGTCTGTCTCCGTCTGTCTGTCTCTGTCTCTCCCCCTACTGTGGCTCTCAAACCTTGCGTTGTTCCACGGTTTGAACATTAACATGGTCTGTAAGAACACCATGAGAATGAGAATCCATGAAATGTTATATAATGTGAGCAAGCAAGATGATGAAGGTTGCCTACTTTGTCGTGTTGCTTTGGCGACAAACGTCTGTTTAATTCGCCCGACACTTGACACGGAGAACTGCTGCGAAAATACTGGATCGTAAGACCATCGAAACCAATCACTCCGTGGATGTAGGATGATGAAGTAAAATGCAAACCTTGGGTGGCCCTTGAATTTCCAAACGCAAGTTCACTCCCAAACCATCCAGCACGCGCACCTTCATCAAGCCAACGCCCAGCACCCGTGTGCGGACCAGCCCATCCTCCACATGTTCGGTGAAGCTGGGACCTCGATCTGAAGGCGGCCCATCCCCGCAGCATCGGGGGGGGTTCGAGTTTTGAAACATAGGGGGACAACTCCTCGGGATGATGAATCCCTGGCTGTCCATGGGTGCGGAAAAATAAACAAAAAAATGAGAGCCAAGGATCAAGCCTCGCTGCACCTGATGGCATGGATGTTCTGCTGAGAGGTCCCAGACCTGCAGCCCACAATCACGTTTGGGGGCTAGAGACTTGGACCGGGCTTGTGCCAGCGAATGGGACAACTTCCAAGAATAGTTCGTTAATCTAAACCGATACATCTATATATAAACCTTTCTAAACCGAAAAATCTAAGAGCTGCACCATGGTAGCATCTACATGCATCTACTTTCACTCCAGCAAAAAACATCTTTGTGCAATGGACAGCCCAAAAAATAGATATACATAAGGGCTTGCTTGTCCACGTTTGACTTCATCATTTGATTGGCCCTTGATCCCGTGTTGCTACTCCCAAATGTCCAGTATCTAGTATCCCAAAACATCTTTAGGAACTAGATTCTTAAGGCTCAGGCCTCCTCGTAGAAGCCTGAGCCCTTCCGCGTCCAACACTGAGAAGCTACTCGAGGTTAGTAGCTTACTTCCTTAGCCTACTAGCTTACTCATTATGGCCTATCCCCCCGCCCCTGACCGCCCCTGGGCCAAAAATTTGAGGGAACCATGGGAAACCGATACCACTTTTGGTCTTGCCAATTTGAGCCCTCTGCGACACACCTGCGCACAGCTCGGCTCCACACGCCCAGACATGGTGCCGGAGCGGTGGTCGACCTACCAACGTGCACCCGCGACGTGGGCAGGCATCTTGTTCTTCGACTTTAAAGAACCCTTCGCATGGTCGATGTGGTGTCGAAAGTTTGGCGAAACTTAAATTTTATGGGACTCTGTATGTTTCCTTTCCTTCTGTCTTCCCTCTTCTTTGAAAAGTTCTTGCTGGTCTCAAGTCTCAAGCTCGAACGCTCAAGGAGTGTTTAAGTTTATGTTGTCTACTATGCTGGTGGGTAAAGTCATCATGTGCCTGGTAGAGATCAATAGTCCCACAAGCCCTGTTAAGTGCGTGTAGCCTTTGGGAGGAGCAACAGTTTGGGTGCGCGGATGCCTCTTTTGGGGCTCCCATTTTCCAGATGCACACCTCTATAGGTTTGAGAAGCGGGGAAGACATGAGATTTGGAGCACAAATTCAAAGTCTTGCAGGATCAAAGTGACCCTGATGACAAGAAATGCCGGTGTGCAGCTCAGGCACACAAGGCTGCCTTCGGTTTCGCCCTGTTTCCACCGACTTTGTCGCAGGGGTCAAGTTCCAGGCTAGCTCCAGTTGCTAAGGGCCTGGCCTACTACCAGCTTGGAAGCTCCAAAGCACGGCGGTGCTAGTATTTTTTCAGATACTAACCTAATTCAAGTCCTTATTACTCGTTGGGGTCTCTATTGCCAGCAAAGGGTCGTGCATCATCGAAAGATGGATCTTTCCCTGTCGAGCCTCCTGGACAAGGACGCCTGTGCCAAAACGGGGTTGTTGACAGAAAATGAAACAGCCTGGAAGAGATTCCTAAGGGAATATAATATGCGAAACCCCGATGGGTATCCTCCAAGTATATAGATAACTGCACCCCAGGAAAGCCTTGTTAAAGAGGGCCTTATTAAAGGTGCCCTTACCTTCTTATTTCCTCATTTATTTGTACCAAGCTTCCCTGAAGTACCCTTGTGCTTCCTCCCCAAGGGTGCAAATCGAGATATGAAAAAAGTCGGAAGCCAAGAACTGGGGCATCCTCCCATTCCATTCGCCCTCCCATTCCCCGGTGCTGTTTGGTGACTTCACCGCCTCTGAAGCATCCCGCTTCTCCTTGACACCCAGCGACACCCGACACACATCTAACGAGACCCAGTCCATCATGTCTAACTGAAGTCCGATGACATCGAAATGAGAATTGACCAGGGGAGAAATGAGAATTGCTCGGCCCGGTGAGTGAATTGCTCGGCAGAAGTAGGTCAGCAACATGATAGGGCATTGAGACGTTCCTCCAGGGTGTTGACGTTCAAAATCGATCCACCCTCTTCCCCGATGCGTGACACCTTCCCAAAACCTTGGGAAACGAGAGCTCACACCGACCACGACCGCGACCTTCGGTCCAAGGAGCGAAGGCTCGACCCCGCCACCAACGGCCATCAAACAAGATGGAGCTGTGGACCTCGGACCGGTATGACACAAGGAGTGTCCGTCTTCTTTATGAACCAAAAGGGAAATAAATGGAAATAGTATGTATGACATAACATAGTCTGTTAATGTAAGTTAAACATATAGTTAAACAATGTTTCAACATGTCTTCTGGATTCCTCTGGATAAATTCTATGGCTTGCATGCCATAGAGGCACCCTTCGACCCGAACCATGGTCCGCCCTTCGCAGCCGTGTCTTTCTGCCCGAGGCTATGTCATGATGCGTCTGTCGGTGCTGCCAACCGAGTCTATGGATGTGAGTGGTGGATACCGATTGAATATCTGCGGGTCTGTGGTGGCATACTCTATAGGGGTATGTGGATGGGATAATGTTCTTCGAACTCCGATGGGATCTCTTCCACGCGGAGAATCTCAATGAGCATGGTCGCAGTAAAACTCTCACCTTGCCTGCAACAGAAATTCGTCCGGATGCATGGCCCACGGCCTTGGTGAGAAGAGGATGTGTGAGCAGAGGATGTGTGATCCTTCCAAGGCTGTTTCCGGATGTCATTTCGATGCCACCCACATCTATCTATACATCTCTATCGCTGGAATTGGCATCCAGGGTTCACCTTCAAAGGAAAGATCCTTCCAGGTGTCCCTGCGAAAGCCGATACCTGTGCCGTATAAAATCCCAACCATGCATTGCTCAATCTGGGCCCTGCTGTCTTGCTTTCTTCCAGCCCCAGAAAAAGAACTTATTATGACAAGATGCCCGATTTAAGCACCTTCTCCTCCCTGATAGATGCTTACTGATCTATCATGGTCACAAATCCATATTCTCTCTCCAAATATTGAAACAAGTGTTGCCGAATCCCAGTGAAGTTAATGACAGCGCGGGCAACTTGGCCTGCTATTTCGCCGCCGGCCGGCCGGCCACGCAGGCAACTAGCGGCCGACCGGCCGGCTCATCTGCCAGCGGCCCGCCGGCTCACCGGCCAGCCGGCGTCGTTGTCATTCGCCCGCCGGGTATGGTGGCAGCAATAGTAGTAGTACTACTACTACTACTATTACTACTACTACTAGTAGTTATTGGCCCGCCGGCCGACGCCGTGATTATTGGCCGGCTGGCCGGCCGGCCGGCCGACGCCGTGTTTTTTGGCCGGCCGACCGGCCGGCCGGCTGGCTGATCGAGAAATAGCGGGCCGCGACAAGCTCGCAATGGAAGTTACAGTAAAATAAACACACCGCCAATATAAACTGAAAGCTACCGGTGTAAGATAATGCAGCGCTTTGCGGATCCCCCAACTTTCCGTGAAAGCACATGATTTGGGGTCCAGATCCAGCCTGCGCAAAAAATACAGGAGATACCTCTTGTGCTGTGAATCTCGGACTGTTCATCCTTTTTCCCGGTCAGATTCGCGGTCGCGACCCAACACCGGGATCGCCCACGCCAGGTGCGGCCAGAAGAAAAGGAAGGCCAAGTGCAAAGCCTTCCAAAAGCGCTGCCGTGTGACACCAGGAGATCAAGAACGCTACTAGGAGCAAGGACGTACTACTTGGAGCAAGGACGTACTACTAGGAGCAAGGACGCTACTAGGAGCAAAGGGCATCGCTACTAGGAGCGATCGGACGCTACTAGGAGCAAAGAACCGTGAGATCACATGCATCCATGGATGACGGCCTGCACTTCGTCCATGCTGCGGGGGCCTGAAGCCTGCGTGGACACCGGAGTCACTTGGAGGTGGACAAAGGCAAGGACCCCAGCGTACCAGGAAGGCCATTAGTTGGGACTATGGTACTACGATCCTGCTGTGGATTATTGGTATAGGTTGATTGCTCAGGATGCAGTTCAGCATGTGATTCTCGAAGTACGATGTCCAAACATTTGCTACATTGCTTTACAATCCCACAGACACTTGCTGCTAAATCTTGCTCCAGTGAGCAAAATTCGATAGACATTGGATGATTTGCGGTACATTTCCCCACACTTGCAAGTAGATATTGTCTGAATGAGAAGCATGAACATTGGATGGCATCTGCCACACTACTTGCCAGGAAATCGTGTCTCACACTTCATTCATGGCGTTTACTACAGTCCCCCACTGTCTCTACAAAACTTGTTTCAGTGGCGAAGAAAGACATTGGACGACATTTACTACATTACAGCACACCTTTTGCTAAATCTAAATGTGCAACATTACTCTCGTCTTTCTGCTATTTGTGCGACAAGACTCTACACTTTCTGCGAAATGGTATGAAATTGTTGTTTCAATGCGGAGAATGGTTTTCTCCGCTCTCTCACGCCTCTCCTCGATCGACACAGCCAGCCAGAGGTGACCTCACGTACTCTCAGAAGAATCAAGTGTGTGGATACCCAACAGGACCCAACAATGGTTAAAACGGGTTTTAACAGAAATTCAGAAAACACCCTTTGCGTAATCGAATGAAGGCAAACTGGATGGTGAAATCTAGAATAAGCAGCAGTGGCATGGGCCATGTGTTGATAACCTTGACGAGATAGCCATCGAGTTGCCTGATTGCTCTTCAACAGGCAAGTTTATCGGCTTTTTCTAAGATGCTTCTTATTCGTTGCACACATCAGTGGGGCTGTGGGCGCCCCAGCGCGATTTCCAGGCTGGCCGTGGACCACTCCCATGCGCGGGAAGGGTGATTCAGAACCAGCTCACCTTGGGCGATGTTTCGAACCTCTGGCACTGACCTCCAACCTAAGAGCGGCCTCCAACCCCATATCGATGAAGGTTTAGAGTGGTTTTATAGATTCCTTTTTAGATCCTTTTAGGATGTCTCCAAGGTATCTGGTCTTCATATTACGAAGGGCCCTTTGACGTCAGCCGTTCTTGCACTGATCATCCCGCGCCGTCTGCGCTTCAGAATCCCTTGGTTGGTTGCAAATGGACGCTCGGCCCTTGCAGTTCTAAGAAGCTACTGTCGACCTGGTGCCCAGTGGAAGTCATCGGAGATTTTTGGAAGTGCTCAGTGCGACATGTGTCCCAGGAACAAAGAGCCTCACTTAACACTCGCCGCGGTGGCTATTCTCAATGAGGCTTTAACCTCTTGAGTTGTATGGGAAATCCTTCACGGCCTGAGTCAACAAGCTGCATGCATGGCCAGCCACTCCAGGCTAGACAAGAGTAGTGATTATGAGGTGCTGAAAAATGGGAAAGAAAGTCGTGGAAACAAGTCCTTTCTCCCAGAAGAGTTTGTTTTTCAAACTTCATCAATAAGACATACTGGTCTACATTTGAAGTTCTCTCAGACATGTGGTGTTTTCTTGCAACCAATGGCCCCCACTCTGTTGCGTCCTGAGAGCCCTCACGGGCTGAACAAACCAAGCCCAAAGCCACCACCTGAGTGAACCAAAAATTGACCCATCAGGACTTGATACAGCACGGATGGCGAGAAGAAGGGGCATAGCGTCATAATGGCATCATGTGCAGTAGTGGCAAAATTGCTTTAAACTGCCTTGAATGGAACAATACTGTTCCGAACAATTGAACAGTTTGGTTGAAACAATTCAACCCACTGCTTGATTCTTCAACACCACCAATCAAGCGAAATGACAAGTCCTCCCAAAAGACTGTTCACTCGCAGTTCCTCCCAATGTCATTTCACTGCCTGTCTACCTCTATGCATCCATTAAAATGTATATACAGTATATATATATATGTGTGTGTACAGTATATATATATATACTGTAGATCTCAGTGATCTTCTTCACCCCTCAAAGCGTCCGGAATGCGGGACACCAACTCCATGGGTCGCTGTGCTCACGACGGTCGCTGACCACCACCCGAAGAACACCACACCCCCTTTTTTCCGATGGTCGCGCACGTGGGCTGCCGTTGGCCTTTGCAATCGGATGCCTGGGAAAAGAGGGATTTTGGATGTGGTGGTGAAGAGCAAGTAAGGGAAGATGTGTGACATCCAATGTGTTTGCCCCAAATGCAGAAGGGGTGCCTTACGTTGCCTTGATGACTTTGCAATCGGAAGGGCTTGTACAGGATAGGTCATCCATCAAAAAGGTCTGGTATATGTTTCTTGGAGTCTTAAGCAGAGGATTTGACATCCATCTGTGGGCCATTCACTTCTTTGCAGAGGGTCCAATAAAATGTGGTCTCGCATCATTGCAACTGCTCTGATCTCTGTGCTCCAAGCATTGCCGACCGTCTGGTCCTCTGTCTTTTAGGCTTCGCCAACTTTGGCAGCACAGGAGACCGATGGAGACCATGTATCATGGACATGACGCAATCTTGTGGATGGGATAAGTGGCAGAATCGATCAATTTTGGTTGATCACATTCATGCTGGACCGCTTGAGAACGAGACGACCGGATACCCCAACCTTGCTGGCTTAGTCTTCCTCCTCCAAAACGCACAAGCCAGATGTCCACGACTGTTCTTAATTATGCATCCAATACTGCATCCAGCCTAAGTCTGTGAATGTTTACTGAAGCTTCCCGGACTTTTCAGGATATCTATGGTAAAAATCTCAGGAAAGCATCCACCAGTCTCCATCAGCTGTCTAGTCTCTTTGTCAGTGTCAAGCCTTGGAGCTTCGCATACCTAGTGTATAGTGACTTCAAACTTGAAAATGGATGCACTGCATCTCGGATTTTCTCAGTGCTTCCTCAACTACTGTCCATAACGACGCAAGCCCTCTCAGATGCGGGATACAAGGTCTTCCACCATGTCCATCGTTGTCCATCCGATCCATCTGCTCCTCGAAGTCCAAGGTCGACGAGGAGCCCATCGGTGCCAAGGCGCCCCGGAGCAACGTCCGGGGCGAGGCCACGTCCTTTGAGGGGACGGATCAGTCCGATTTCGGACGCAAAGGCCAGACATGTCTCCTTTAATTTGAGTGTTCGATGGTTTTCATTCGAGGCAATTCAGGAAACCCTGTCTGTGGTGGGAGTGGCTCTCCTCATCATCTGCCAGTGACACGTGCCAAAGAAGCTGATCATTCGCAAGCTCCAGGGCTGCATCAATCTTGCGGTGCCTGATGGCACTTTCTCGGGGAGCGAAGGACCTTGCGGAATTCACCCTGAACTTGCCTGGAATGGCAACTGCCAAGCTCGTTCAATAGACTCAGTGTGAACACTAGGATCTGTTACATTATATAATTTCTCAGCTTTCAATGTCATAAATTTGCATGTGGCTCTCGGCGAAAACACTTGACAAAAGTTGCAGGAGAGAACACTCAGAAGAAGATCCTCCGAAAGTGACGGCAGAATAATTAGAATCTCACCGGCACAAGCCACATAGTGACACATTATATGACACTGGATTTCTCCATGGATATTATCCCATGTTCAGTTCCAGCCTGAAGCCTTTCGCTTGGCGAGGGGCATCAGGGACTTCGGTCTCAGGAGCACATCGGCCGGCGTCGACGGTGGAGGGAGGACGTCGACGGCCAAGAGCCTGGAAAGTTGCAATAATATCCTCCAATCCAAGAGCGATGGCCTCCAACTTACTAGCGAAAGAAGCAATCTTATCGAACGTGATCGAGCATCAAACAGAAGTGCCGATCGGAATTTGTGAATGATCTATCAAAAACACATGAAAGCCCTCTGATCCGCACCTGATCAGGAGGGAGATAGTAGCAACAGCGTTGTCATGTCGGACACGCTGGTCTTTGTTCAGCATTTATGTCTAGTTGAGCCAACTGTGAAAAAACACCGAAAAATACTAGTATCCATCCAGTCGTGCATTGACAGGGCTGTGCCTCAAGTACTCAATAGTTGCATGAGAGATTTGGCAGCACAAATTGCGCAAGGAAAATTTGAACATCTCCGAATTCAGACCACAGTATTTGATGTGGGTTTTCTTGCCTGGCGACTTGCAAAATCATCCCTCTTCGCTTTTTGTCCTGCGCAGACCCCATAGGGCCTTCTTGGGCGACAAGCTGACAGCCTGCTGGAGAGCGCTCATCTGCTCGGCCAGATCCTGCGAAGCGTAGATTGAAACATGGGGAAGGAAACATGTCCTTGGAACAAGTGCCTTACTAGTAGTAACAAGTGCCTTACTAGTAGTAACAAGAAGCTATTGGAAACAATAAAGAGAATTTAATTTAGAGTTGGAACATGTAACGGTTTCACTTGCAGTCAGACGTGCTGCTAATGTTGCGCCGAGAATGACCAAGGGGCAGGAATCCCCTGGTTCACACACCACCAAAGGGGACCTGGACACCCTGGGACTTGGCTGACAATCTTGAGATCTTTTTGTGGATCTATTCCAATGCTTGCCATGCTAGTTTGTTTGGGCACTTGAGTCTAGTAGTCCAGTGTAGAGTCTAAAAGGTTCTGCCAGGTACAGCCTATACTTCATTCAAACAAAAGTTTACCCTTGTTAGCCTTCTTACAAAACACTCTGAGATCAGCGGCGGATCGAATTAACAAGTCTGATTTTCGTGGCAGGTATGGGACGGTCAATTATCACACCGATTTGAATGTATAACAATAAAAGGCTTTCCGGGGTGACAAATGACCGCCCACACCTTCCCTTGTCTCATGGTGTAGGATTCTACGGGGATAGGGTTGTCATGAGTTTCAACGTCAACAAGCGCAACTTTCATCTGGCCAGTGTATGCGAACATCAATTATCATTCTGACGTCCAGTCGTGTCATCAGTTTTCGGCATGAAGACGGCAATGAAAGTTCTGAACATCTCACAAAAGTAACATGAAGTCTCTCCCACTGTTTGCAGGGTGTGTTTGTGTTTTGCGCCATCCGTTCCGACCCCTTTGACATGAGTCGTTTCCACCCCGGACAAAGAAGTCCCATCTCGCTCGATCACGTGAGGCATGTGATGTGAAGTGCCCTAAAACAGCAGCCTATGATGTGAATGTCCATGTTTCAGGTCGCTCGGTTCTCCCGGCCTGGGTGTCTCATCTTCATCTTCCATCACACCCCTCTCATCTTCCCCCCTCCCCCAGTCCCGGTCTGGTCCCCCCTCTCGCCAGTCGTCCTGCACTCTGCGGTGCGTGGCAGAGACCACCTCCGCCAGCTCGTTCCATGGTTTCGAGGCCAAGGCAGCTGCCACCGACTGGGTCGACGCGGTGAGAACGTTCGAACCGAGTCGTTGGTCGGACACCGGGGACACCCTATCCGTCCCTTCTTGTGTATGTTTGGTTTGTCCGTTTGTCATAGTCTTCCACACCCAAAGGGAATGAGATCAAGACCAACCAGCATGATTTTAGTAATTCTACATTTCATCATTCTATCATAAGAATGTGGAGTTGCCTGCTGGCGACATCGCAGCATGTCAGAACGTTCACAACCCCAAGTCTATGAACGTAGTCATACGTCGTCGACCTAGCGGTATTGCCCAATTTTCATGAATTATCCCTAGTGAGTTTCTCTTGAAATCCCAAACCCTGGCTCACGGCTCACCGGCTTTTGGGGGGTCCGGGGGTCTGTACTACCACCAGTTTCATGGCACAAAACGTGGGCTTCCCATCTTTGTGCAATGTGTCCAGGTCTTTGGAGAGGCTTCCCATCTTCAAACGTGTCATTTACAAGGGGGGAAATACGGGAAATAGATCCCCCAAATACGGAGGGGCTTGTCCATGTTTCTTTTGGTGCTCCGCCACCGGGTCAAGAACCGAACGATGTGGCCTCCACCCCACGTGCAGCTTGCGCCACAGCACGGAGCAGCTCGGTGCTCGCCACCTGGACGGGTTGGTCTCTCAAAAGCAAATCCATGTATGTTTTATGTGCTAGTGCTTATGTGTATGATTTATATATATATATATGTACGATAGGTATTTTGTTTTAAACTACCCCCCTGCAGCCCTGAAAAATGATCTTGAGACCACAAATGATGCCCCTACCCCATACCCTGCCCTGAATCCAATTCATAATGGTTCACATGTCTCTTCCGATTTTGGTAGATACTGTAACTTATATGAACCCATGTCGACATGATGTTGAGATTGGGTTCCAAGCACTGCCAAATACCACGTGATAGATAAGAACTCCAAATAATGCGTCATTATGCATGACAAAAGTCCTTCCGCTCTTGTTGCAGAACAGCCTTTTAAAGAAATATGCCCTTTATAAGAGCTTCGCTGAATATGAGCTGCACTTGTCGATAGAAGTATGGTGCAGGTTGAAGCACTTGAAACAGCCAATGTTCTTGCGTTGTTGTGCTTAGCAATCACATTGTTCTTGCACCAGAAAAGGCTTGAACTCCCAAGCTAATTCTCTGTTTATTTAGTTGTTTTCCGGGTAGTGTATTATATGTATGATTCCTTCTTTCCCAACTCTTCCAAGTCTTGATGTGTTTGCCTCTTCCTGAATAAGCTTTTGCTATCAATACGACTTATGTTAATTCGTTCCATTTGCACAATA